CTTACCATGACGGTCTCTGTATCAATCCTGATCTAAGAGAGTCATCTAACAGTGTTCCTTCAGACAACTAACTTTTATCCTTTTAGGATTATAAAAGTTACATTTATTCATGATGTTCCCTTCATTGGGTTCCCTTAGAGAAATGGGGAATTGCTTATGTACCAAATTTGCATAATTTTTTTTTTGTTTTTCAAGACAGGGGCATAATTTTTTTTAACTAAAGTGGTACAATTTGGGGATTCCCTCTTCAAAGTCTTCAGTTTATCAAGTCTGTGCCATAGAAAGTAGTTTTGATTTGTGTTTCCTTGATGGTTAAGGAAGTTGAACAGTTTTTATAATTATGCTACTATAAGACTTAGAATAGACTTTAAAAATATAATAAAATGCAGTTTTTCATTTACTCTAAAAAAACTCAAAAATACTACAAAATGGGAGGATATATATATTCTAGCATCATTGTATCAGTTTGACAGGTTCATACCTCATATTGGCAAGGGTTTTCAAACGTGGGGGTGGGGAGAGGAATAAAGAAAAGACAAAAACCTTGTCCTAATTCTGATACTACGGCTGCTCTGGGTCATTACTCCAAATGGTTGCCAAACACTTTGAACAATAATATTCCCCTTAACAGAATTTTTCTAATAGTAAAAGCAATCTAAAGTCCTGTTAAGAGGTGCATGATTCGTATTCATACATTTAATCAGTCATTAGATTTGGGAAAAGGTCGGCAGTGGTGCTGCACACCTTTAGTTTCAGCACTCAAGAGGCAGAAGCAGATGGATCTTTGAGTTTGAGAACAGCCTGATCCACAGAATCAGTTCCAGGACAGCCAGCGTTACACAGAGAAACCCTGTCTCAAAAACAAAAACAAAAACAAGGGGCTGGACAGATGGCTCAGTGGTTAAGAGCACTGACTGTTCTTCCAGAGGTCCTGATTTAAATTCCCAGCAACCACATGGTGGCTCCAACCATCTGTAATGGGATCCGATGCCCTCTTCTGTTGTGTCTGAAGAGATTGACAGTATATTCATATACAAAAAAAATAAATCTTTAAAAACAAAACACATACAAAAAACAAATAAAAAACCCAAACAGCTTATAATGTATGTAAATATCTCAAATATATATGTATTATGCTTATAATATATTTTATGTATATATTTATATGAACAGTTAAAGGACACCGTAACTGGAGCCCAGTGGCTGGCTCTTTCATCTCAGCTCTCAGGGTGGAGGAAATAATGGCAGGTGACCTCTGTGAGTGTGAGGCCAGCCTGATCTGCATCCTGAGTTCCTTCCAGCCAGAGTTGTATAGTGAGCCGCACAAAATAAATAAATAAATAAATAAATAAATAAATAGATAAATAGCAACACTCAGTAAATAGATAGATAGATAGATAGATAGATAGATAGATAGATAAAGCAACAACAACTATAAAAATGACCATAGTAGGTTCTAGAGGGAAAACACAGGAAGGACAAAATCAGGGATAAACTTGAACACATAATTAAAAGTAAAATCTTAAAAGATATGAAAAATGGGCTGACAACATGGCTCAGTGGTTAAGAGTACTGACTGCTCTTCCAGAGGTCCTGAGTTCAATTCCCAGCAACCACATGGAGGCTCACAACCATCTGTAATGAGATCGGATGCCCTCTTCTGGTGTGTCTGAAGACAGCTACGGTGTCCTCACGTACATAAAATAAATAAATAATTCTTAAAAAATATGAAAATTTTAAAAAGAAATTTGGGTAGTGTGCACGATATTGTCTTAGGTTTTCTACGGCTGCAACAAAAGACCATGACCAAAAAGCAAGTTGAGGAGGAAGGGGTTTATTTGGCTTACACTTCTATGTTGATATGAAGGAAGTCAGGACAGGAACTCAAACAGGGCGGGAACCTGGAGGCAGGAGCTGATGCAGAGGCCATGGAGGGTGCAGCTTACTGGCCTGCTTCCCATGGCTTGCTCAACCTGCTTTCTTATAGAATCCAGGACCACCAGCCCAGGGATGAAACCGCCCACAATGGGCTGGGTGCTCCCCCATCAGTAACTAATTAAGAAAATGCCCTACAACCGGATCTTATGGAGGCATTTTCTCAGTTAAGTTTCTCTCCTTTCAGATACCTTTAGTTCATGTGTCATCTTGACATGAGACCAGCCAGCACAGGTATGTATGTTCGCATGTGTCTGAGGGTACATATGGAGACCAGAGGCTGATGCTGAACGTCCTTCTCTATTGCTGTAGACATTGAGGTAGGGTACGTCTGTCTCTTGAACCTAGGACTCACTGGTTCAGCTGGTCTAGATAGTCCAGAATCCTCTGTCCCTGTTTCCTTAGCAGTGTGACCGCATGTAGTCTGCTGTGCTGGCCTGGTCTTTACTTGGACTCTGGCACGAGCCCTCCAGTCCTTATACTTTCTCAGCAAGTGCTTTACCCACTGAGCTACCTTTCCAGCCTATGACAAGAATCTGAGACTTTGAAAGGAGTTTAAAGTTAAGACCATAATAACTTCTTATTATATAACTGACCAGGGACTCTATGTTTTGCCGAGTTTACCACTGGGTTATTAGGAGAAGCATGGCTTGAATCCACGCCTCTTGCTACCTCATTTCCTTATGTTTGAGGCTGGCCTTGAATTTGTGACAAATCTCTTGCTGCAGCCTCTGGAGTTGGTACGATTACAGGTAGAAGCCACCACGCCTGGCTCCTTCTGCTTACCTTTGAACAACAAAAGCAGGAAGCACCCACTTGAGGACCACTGTATACCAAGAGAGTGCATGCAAGCTTTGATGTCACACTACTTATGTTCAAATCTGAGACCTGTTATTTATTACCTGTATGACCTTGGTGAAGTCATTTAACTGTTCTGTGCCTCAGTTTCCTCCTGTGTAAAATAAACTCTCAGATTTGTGGTAGAGATCAAATGAACTGACTTAAAGTACCTAACAGTATAAGGCATAAGTAGAGACCAGAGATCTCGGTACTATTTAGCACACACTCTCTGGTTACTGATATAACAAAGATGAACTGGGGCCAAGGACTTTTGACGACAACTGTTTTATTTGATCTGCGTTTAAGAAGCAGAACCCAAGACCAGGAGTGTGTCCCAGTATCCCAGCTCTCAGGAAGGTGAGGCCATATTATGAACTCAAGGCCAGCAAGACTCTGTCTCAATAAACATGCTCATAACAAAAAGAAAGAAAGAAAGGAAGAAAGAAAGAACGTCATCTAAGTCAGTGTTTGTATCTTGACATTCTATACAGCAGTCTGGATTTTAGTTTCTCTTGCAAATTGGAAGGCCTGATATTGTTAGGCTAAAATTCTCAGATCCTAACAACTGGGTGGTTACAACACAGTAGCGGCCCCCATACACAGTAACTTTGCTTTGCCTTGTATTTTCATACTTGATTAAAACAATCTTTCTTCTCAAGGAACTCACAGTCCTATAGGTGACCCACACTGCCTGAATATAGCCTGGTAAGAAAAGAACAAGAAAGAAGGACAGTGGTGCTGAGCAAAGAGCGTAGCCATCATCTGGTGGAACAGGAGAGCATCTGAAACTGGGGATATGGTGGTGGTTGTGATGGTTTGAACGTGCTTGGCCCAGGGAGTGGTACTGTTAGGAGGTGTGGCTTTATCGGAGTAGGTGTGGCTGTGTTAGAAGAACTGTGTAATTGTGAGCATGGACTTTAAGACCTTCATCCTAGCTCCCTGGAAACTAGTCTTATAGCTTCTTCAGATGAAGATGTAGGACTCTCAGCTCCACCTGGATGCTGCCATGCTCCCACCTTGATGGTAATGGACAGAACCTCTGAACCTGTAAGAAAAGGAGCAAGCTGAGAAAGGAAAAATATTTAAAGGGGCATCGGGAAGTAGAATGGAGCCAAATCTCATGTTCTAGGAGATAACAGATCCCACTCAGCTAAATTAGGTGTGGTGGTACACACTTTTAATCCCGGGAGACAGAGCCGTGCAGATCTCGGAGCTTAAGGTCAATCTACAGAGTAAGTTACAAGACAGCTAAGCTTCATTCTACTTCCTGTGTCCCTTGAATACTAGAACCATATATCTTGTTGACAAAATGGACATAATACTGACTCCTACCTCAGGGCTATTAAACTAAAAATTCAACTCATCTAACCCATGCAATGAACCTACCAAGATAACCCAATAAAGAATAAAAGAGATCAGTTATAAGTTACGATTATTATGGTAGTTACAGCGTCGTATGTGTAATCCTGTCTTTGAAAAAAAAATGACATCTTTTTAAGTCAAACATTTATTTTTCATTGGAACCTGAAATTAAATCAACGGGTAGCTTCTTCCATAAAAAAAAAAAAAAAGAATGCGAGATTGAATACTGATACAACTTCTTTCCCTTCTGTATTTTTTGTTGTAAAAATTTTAAGAACAATTAAAATTTCTTTATGAAAATTTAAAAAATGTAAATTATTTCTTACACATACAATTCAATTTAATAGTTTATTAGCCGTAATAAAGGTACTACTAATGTAGAAGAGACGATTCTGTAGTCCTCCAGGCCCATAGAGTATTCAAAGACCCTTTCAGGCAAAGGACCTTTCCACATTCTTTTCCCATTTTTGAGAAGCTAGGCAGATCAGATAACCAATTGGCGGGAAAAGGATAAGTGTAGACCAAATCCGCACAATCTGTTTCTGTTTAGTTTATAAACTGCGTTCCAGTGTGTCAGCTTTCCTGCCTTGTGGGACTTGAAGTCCAAAGTGAGAAGTGATTCAGGCAGCTGAGCCTTAGAAACCCACAGCCCCTGAAGCGCTGAGGCCCAAGGACTACAATTCCCGACACACAGTGGAAGGCCGCGCCGTAATCACGGGTAACCAATCGTTCGCTGGCCAGGCAAGCCACGCCTCCAGCTCCGGGACAGCTTTGGCCAATGGCAGAACTCGCAGCGCACAGCCTGCGGGTTAGGTTGTGAGGCTCGGGCCGGGGGTGGGGAGGAATCGAGGGTTTCGGAGCGAGCTCCGCGGCCGGGTGGGTCGGGGCGTTCGGCGCGCCCTTCACTGAAGCGGCAGTGGCCGGGCTGGGAGAAGGGAGTGGGAAGCGACGGCGTGGCTGGAAAATGCCGGTCCATTCCCGAGGGGATAAGAAGGAGACGAATCATCACGATGAGATGGAGGTGGACTACGCGGAGAACGAGGGGAGCAGTTCCGAAGACGAGGACACCGAGAGCTCGTCGGTCTCGGAGGATGGGGACAGCTCAGGTGCGCGACCCAGCTGGGCGGGGGATGCCGGGTCCCTTGTGCCGGGCGCGCGACAGGCCGCGGTGCTCACGCCGGGCGGCGCGTCCTGCTGCGAGCGCGGGGCGGGGAGATGGGGAAGGGGCGGAGACTGGCTCGGCCTCTGACACCGAGAACTGCGGGGCGCCGCGGGCTCAAGCTCCGGCTCCGGGTGGGCTGGGTGCCCGCAGGCTTTAGGGACCCGAGGCGATTCCGTCCACCGTGGGGCCCGCCCTAGGGTCACCTGGCAGTACCCTGGGGCTACCGACTCGGGAGTGGAATGTCCAGCTGGCTGGCCTGGAAGACTGGAAATGTCCCTTAACTCACCACTGACCTCTTTACTGTAGTCCCCGCAACCATAGATAGATTTGTCTTGACCCTTGGCGGGCTTGCAACTCATTAATACTTGCGGGTCAGCCTGTCACCAGTACTGTCATCAGGGGACTGACTTGGGAACTCTCTGGTTCATAGTATGTCCCAAAAGTTTTCAAGAGGAAGAAGGAACCAGCCTGATCTGGACGGTGTGGCCAGTGTTGACATTCCCAGAATCTTGGAGCTTTGATTATCTTGTAACTTTGGGCTGTTTCTGACCCCTCGAAAGTCGTTAATAATTGTCATTCTAAGACGAATGGAACTGATTTCCTGGATCTTTCTCTGTCTGACCATATGACAGACTGAGAATGGCTTCTTTGTCTAACCCTGGTTTTGGCCATGTAAAGGGAAGCATTGATAACAGGTTAATGACAGTGTGGTATCACTCCACACCTTTTTAACAGGTTTGTTTGTCAGAGTGTACTTCATGGAAGAATGTAATGTCAATAAGTCAAAGCCATCCAAAAAGTAAATATTTATGAGGAAGAGTTTTTACTCAGCATGCGTTATAAATTTATAGTTATCTTATCTCCGTTGAAGAACAGCGTTTTGCTTACTCAACAGGACCGTTGAATACATGAATTCATGCGAGTTGTGACAGTGTGCACAAGACCTGGGCAGACTCAATCCAGACAAAAATCCCAGTACGGAGGGGTAGAGGTGGGCATGAAATTCCACCACTAGCAGACGAGCTATGGGCACTTGTTAGCATGACCCCTGGAAGGCACCCACACACCAAGGCAGGGAGGGACGTGGGGGTGGATCCGGAGGAGTTGGGGGAGGGGAAGTGAGTATGTTCATTGTATAACATTTTCAAAGAATTAATAAAAATATCTAAAAAAACAAAACGTGTTGTAAGTTACCACTTGATGACGTTGCCAAATGAATGACTGAATGTGGCTAATGCTGTTGGAGTTAGGAGTGGAGGAATGACTCCAGATCTTCGCGGTGAGCACATTTAGTGGAGGAAAGGGCCGCTGCCTTGTTTTGAAGAGTTTGAGTTGGGATAGTTAAGGTGGAAAGTTCATATAGGAGAAGGAATGTAAGAAAAAGTGCAAAGGCCAGAGTTCAAGGCTTGTGGAAGAATGAGGAAGCCAGTTTGGTTGGGAGACCAAGAAGCTTGAAAAGGCAAAGAACGCTGTAGCTGTGAGAGTCGGAAGCCGCAGAAGACTGGATGGCTGCAAGTTAGCAGTGAGGTAAGAGGACGCTCAGATACAGGGAGGGGTGTGGGCAGCGTCGACGCTAATGGAAAAATAAAATATGGAAATGAAGATGGAAGATAAAAGTATTCTGAGCATACTGCTGTTCTGTACGTGCATGCGCTGTTTATGTAAGAAGTAAGAAGGTCCACACTGACAGAAGGAAAAGGAGCATTAGCACCCGCCTGGTTTGAGAAATATAATTCTGAGGTCATCTGCCTAGCCGAGGACATGGGTGAGACTTCAGAATTAGCCAGTTTAACGTGAAGTAGGGATTAAGAATCACATTTAGACTCTGCATACAGTGCTTCGATCTGAAAAGTGTTCTGTTGTTGTTTTATTTTGTTGGTGGGATATAGGTATACAGGGTCTTGCTGTGTAGCCCAGGAGCAAAGCATTTTTATAGTCAAGCATTCTTGGTTTTTTGTTTGTTTGTTTTTTAAGATTTCCTTTTTAATTATGTGTATATGTCTGTGTGTAGGTACGGGTATGTGAGTGAAGGTGCCCACGGAGTACAGAAGAGGGCCCTGGCTGTTCTGAGCTGGAGTTACAAGTGGTTGTGAGCTACCTAGTGTGGGTGCAGGAACAGTACGTGCTCAGAAGCCCTGAGCTGTCTGTCCAGCCTGTCTTCTTGGGTTTTAATGGGAGCCAAGTTCTCATCAAATTGTGTGTGTTGGGATTCTCCCCTTCTAGTAGTTACGTTGTTGTGATTTTTTAACATGTTAAAAAAAAGCCCTCAGCCTAGAAAATAATACTATAATTTACAAAGATCATAATAGTAATTTGAACTAAAAGTCCGTTTTTTTAAGATCAAGTCAATCATTTAAGTGCATTTCACAGTTGTACTTCTACGATTGTATTCTACTGCATCTTGCATATCATGATCCTTTCTCTTTTCTTTTTTTCTCAAACCTCGGTACTGGACAGATTCTTTGGGCATAGAACCTTAATCCAGATTTTAGACGATAAAAACATTTGAAGAACCCAGTGTTGTGTGTGTATGAGTGTGTGTGTGTGTATGAGTGTGTGTCATGTCCCTGTGATGTCCCTCCCACTCCCTGTCAAACCCTGGGCCATAAACAGCTTGGGCATGTGTTCTAGCCCTGGGTTATAGCTCCAGTTGAGGGGCTGTTTTAAAGAGCTACAGAGTAAGTTATTAAGAGGCGTAAATATTTTAAGTTTGTTTTAGAAAATTATCATCATCTACTTCCTTGCTATCTGAAAATAACTGCATGCCGTAGCTCTCTTAGTTTGACATTTTTCCCTTCTTTCTCAAGACTGTTTCTCTCTGTAACCTTGGCTATTCTTGTTAGCCTGGATCTCTAGACCAGGATGGCCTTGAACTTGAGATCCACCTGCCTCTGCTGGGATTAAAGGCTGTGCTACTGCTACCACCCCCCCACCCCTGGGTATAGTTCATTTAACAGCTCTGTTAGTGCCCTGTTATTTTGATGTGTTGCATACATGTGACGTAAAAGCAGAAGATGGGAAACTAGGGCAGGCCTGGTAATTGATAGTTGCTGTCTTTGAGAGTTCGCTTATCTTATTCTCCTTTGCTCCTTCTCATTGGCAGTAATCTGGAGAGGGAACAATAGAAGGGTGAGTGGCAGTCCAACATTCTGTGAGATAAACATAATGGGACTGGTTCACTCTGTGTTGTTGTTGAGACAAGGTTTCACAGTGTAGCCTTGGCTGGCCCGCAACTCCCTATGTAGACAAACCTGGCCTCCAACTCCGATCTGCCTGTCTCTGTCTCTCTAGTGCCGCAACTATAAAGGCACGCACCATGCTGCCTAGCTATTAGCTGCTTTTGTTATGTGATGGGGTAATCAGCCGTGTGTCTCCTCCTCATCCATCTTCTGTTTTTTTGTTTGTTTGTTTGTTTGTTTTGTTTCTTAAGATTAAAAAGAAAATTGTAATCATGTGTCTAGTGTGTTTGGAGGCCAGAATGGGGCAGCTGGAACTGGAGTTAGAGGTGGCTGTGAACCATGGCATGGATTCTAGAACTCAATCTGGGTCTTCTACTTATTCACTCTTGACTTCTGAGATAGCTTTTCAGCTCCTTAGTTTTTTTTTCTTCAGCCCAGGCTAGATTTGAACCTTCATCATTTTTCCTGCCTCAAATTCTCTAGTGCTGGGATCACAGTCATTTACCACCACAGGTGCCGTGTTAAAATTGTGAAGAGAGAATTCCAAGTGTGTTTTTTGAATAATATTGACGTTTTATGAACATAGTCATTTTTGGTGCTAAGTCCACAAGAATTAATGTAAAATCAAAAATGAGTTAATTACTTCATTGACTTTATTATTTCATTCATAGCTTTGAAGAAGACTGGAAAATGGATACACTAGACGCTCTAGAGACTGTGGGAGTTTTAAGTAATCTGACATTACATTAATTCTATAGTGGTGATTATTTTGGATAAAGACTGTTCATTTTCCTTTAAGGTTTAATACAGACCTTGAATGTCCAGTTTCATATTATAACATTTTTATATGTTTGGACTAGCTTCAGATTTACTTGAAACAGTTTTATCTTTTTTGTTGGTTTTGATTTTTTTAGACAGGGAGGGTCTCATGTATCCCAGGCTGACGTCAAACATGCTATGTGGCGTATAGTTGTAGCTAGCCTTAAACCTTCAATGCTCCTGCCTGTGCCTCCCAGGCGTGGGGTCCCACGAGCGTGCCTCCAGACCCGCCCTGAGGGTTTATCTTTGATATCTCCCTCTTGGTTTTTGTACTAGCAGAGATGGATGATGAAGACTGTGAGAGGAGACGGATGGAGTGTCTCGATGAGATGTCCAACCTCGAGAAGCAGTTTACAGACCTCAAAGATCAGTAAGTACTGACTTCACAAGGTCCTCGTCACTGAGCCTCAGCAGCATCAGGTTCACTAGCACAAGAGCAACCGAATCGTTTCTGCTGGGCTCCCTTTTGAGTTTTATGGGAACAGGCTGGTCTGACGGAGGCTTCAGTTATTGTTTACCCCCTAGAAACCTCATTAGCTCAGCAGGGCTTTGAGGCAGGTGAGTGTGGGGGATGGAGTAGATGGCTTGCGTGTGGACGCTGGTGACTCAGGTGTTCCCACTGCGGCACACTTGCTTCTGTCTGCTTTGTTCATCCTCCCGTTAAGTAATCGGCTAAAGGTTTTCCCGTCTGGTACTAGAGATGGAGCCTAGGGCATTGTACAAGGTAAGACGTGCTCTGCCACTGAACAATATCCCCAGGTCCCTCTTGTGCTTTTTCTTTTGAGACGAGGTTTTGCTAAGTTGCCCAGGCTGGCTGGCCTTGAACTCACCTTGTAGCTCAGGCACCTTGACCTTGTGATCCTTCTACCCTAGCCTCCAGTGTATCTGGGTTTATAGCTCTGTGCCACCAGGTCCAGCCGAAATACTGGTTTTTAAATTTTGAGAATAAAATAAAAGAATTGTCCTCCAATTTCCTATCTGGTAATTTGATTTTATGTCCTAACATTGGACAGTGTATTTATCTCTTTCACGTGTGTTTCTTAATTTACTGCTTGTAAACAGCTCTGTAAGGTTGGTAGTTATTCTTCCATTTTACTTGTGAAGAAACTGATGCTCAGAGAAGTTGATTCATTCCCATATTTTATCAAAAAGTGGTAAGTAGAGTCAGGCCTTTCGCTGTAGTGTTACATGTGCATTCCACTAAAGGCACTTTCCTCTGGAGGGTCTGTTAGAGTGTGGAAGAGCACAGGCTCTCAGTCAGCTTCTCCTTTGGAATACATTTTTAAAAGCTGTTCTGTGTGTTTGTGAGTGTGAGAGTGTATGTGTGTGTGTGTTTTGCATTCATGTATATCTCTGTATCACATACATGTGGAGGCCAAAAGAGGGCATTGGATTCCCTGGGACTGGAATTACATGTATTGTGAGCTGCCATGTGAGTGCTGGGAATCAAACCCCGGCCTCTGGGAGAGCAGCCAGTGTGCTCTTAATGGATGAGCCATCTCCATGATCTCTACATCGGTTCCTGTCTCCAGGTTGAGCCCTGAGTTCCCGCCCTGACTTCTCTGGATGATGCACTCACTACAAGATGGAAGATGAATTAAACTATTTCCTCCCCAAGTTGCTTTTGGTCATGGTGTTTTATCACAATAGTAGAATTCCTGACTATAATACCTTTGAGATTGGATCTTGCTATCTTGCTAGCCTGGTCTCAGAGTTGACATTCTACTGCCTCTACCTCCTGAGTTCTGGGATTGCAAGTATCCACCATCATGCTCATTGAAGGCCTCCAAGGTTTGAGAGGAGATGGAATAGATTTAGTAGAATTAGCAGGCTAGAGGGAGACGGATTTGTTTACCATATTAATCCTGTTACGCTATTTCTTCTCTTAACTTTCACTGGTGTTAAAGATGGATATATGAGTATTACTCATGCTAGTACAACATATTAAAAAATACAAAGTTTATAATTTCGGCTTTGAAACACATGGTATTTTTTTTTATTCTAGAGTTTTATATTATTGTAGTATATTTGGTGTCATGCTTGTAATTTCAACCCTTGAGAGGCAGAAACTGGGAGCGTTGGCTGTTCCAGGTCAACCTAGACCACATAGCAAGACTCTTAAAAAAAAAAAGAAGCCAGGCGGTGGTGGCTCATGCCTTTAATCCCAGCACTTGGGAGGCAGAGGCAGGTGGATTTCTGAGTTTGAGGCCAGCCTGGTCTACAGAGTGAGTTCCAGGACAGCCAGGGCTACACAGAGAAACCCTGTCTTGAAAAACCAAAAAAAAAAAAAAAAGAAAGAAAGAAAGAAAAGAAAAAAGATTTCTATTGCTAATTTTAAATTAAAATTAATTTAAGTTCATTTGAGCAACATAGAGCGTTCATCCAGTATGATTCTGGCAAAGAGGTACCAAATCTGTGTTTTTTATGTTTTTAAGTAATTATTTTTAATTATGTATATGTGTGATTGGGCATTTGACTGGGGGATGGGTGTCCACACATGAGAGTGCAGGTGCCCATAGAGATCAAAGTTGGATCCCCTGGACCTGGAGTTATAGGTGGTTATGAGCCACTTGACATGAGTGCTGGGAACCAAACTCAGGACCTCTGAAAGATCAGAGTCACCCATCATGAGCTGTTTTGAAGTCAGAATAAGCAACCCATCCTTTCAACATAGCATGATGTATGTATAATATGTATATGTATGTTATCTTAGTTAGGGTTTTACTACTGTGAACAGACACCATAACCAAGGCAAGTCTTATAAAGGATAACATTTAATTGGGGCTGGCTTACGGGTTCAGAAGGTCAGTCCATCATCATCAAGGTGGGAACATGGCAGCATCTAGGCAGGCATGTTGCAGGAGGAGCTGAGAGTTCTACATCTTCATCTGAAGGCTGCTAGCAGAATACTGACTCCTAGGCAGCTAGGATGAGGGTCTTAAAGCCACTGTGACACACCTGCTCCAATAAGGCCACACTTACTGCAGCAGGGCCACACCCTCTAATAGTGCCACTCCCTGGGCTGAGCATATATGACCATCACATTCACACATATGTATGTATGTATATTGCCTATGATTAATGAATGGAATAAAAGGAGCTTGCAAAATAGTAAGTTGTCAATCTGCTTTGAATTTTTTTTAGAACAGACATAAAATACCAACAAAACTAGAATAGTTTTTCTGAAGTATAACATATATAAACAGTTCATGTAAACAATTTCTTCCTAAAAACAAATAGTGGGTTTTTCTGATAAAGAATACCATATACCCTGTACTAAAGTATTCTTAAAAAAACAAAGCAAAACCAAAAACCCCAATGTTTCACATGCTCATTAGTTTTGATAATCCAACAATTACGTCAACTGGTAAGAGGTTCTCTTCACCTGGTATTGCTGTGACCTCATGCCTTGTACGGCCTAGGTAAGTGTCATGTTGCTGAGCTCCATCCCGAGCTCCAAAGTAAGGAGTCCCTCTGACCGCTTTTTCTATTTTCTGCAGTGTCTGTTAGCAAATTCATAAATAGACAATAAAAACCTCTTCCCATTTTTCATTTCATCCTTCTTATAAAGCATTCATTTGTTTAGATTTTAATTATAATATATAAATATGTGTAATATTTATATATAACCGTATGTGTATGTGTTTTACCCACATCTTTGTTTGTGTTCCATGGTGTTCAGTGCCTGTGATGGCTGTTTGAGGGTATCAGATCCACTCAGCCTGGTGTTAGGGATGGTTTTTAGCTACTCTGTAGGTGCTGGGACTTGAATCTGGGTCCTGTGGTATTTGTTTATTTTTGTGTGTACATATGTGTGAATGTACGTATATGTGGGTGCACTTGTGCTGTGATGCCTGTCAAGAAAAGTGGCAGGAGTCAGTTCTGTCTTTCTACCCTGTTGGTTCTGGGGATCAAACACAGGCCATCAGTTATGGTAGCAAATACCTTTACCCACTGAGCTGTCGTACTCGTCCTAAGGTGTAGCCCAGGCTGCTCTCCACCTCATTATCTCCCTGCTTCTGTCTTTTCAGTGTATCTTACCAGAGGTGCCATCACAGCTGTCGGCCTTCTCTTCCTCTTCCTCCTCCTCCTCCTCCTCTTCATCCTCCTCCTCTTCCTCCTCTTCCTCCTCCTCCTCCTCTTCATCCTCTTTCTCCTCTTCTTCCTCCTCTCC